GCACACAAGTAGACTACAGTAAGATACATAGAATAGTGCATCGGTTTTTGATTTCGGTGAACGGTGTTACCATGGTTACTAAAAATAGAATTTTCTGTAAAATTCCTATAAAATGCTACTCCTTCTACAGTTTTGGTCTGATTTCAATATAACTTGGCACACAAGTAGACTACACAAAGATACATAGAATAGTGCATCGGTTTTTGATTTCAATGAACAGTGTTGCCATGGTTACTAAAATAGAATTCTCTGTGAAATTTCTTTAAAATGCTACTCCTTCTACAGTTTTGGTCTGATTTCAGTATAACTTGGCACACAAGTAGACTACACTAAGATACATAGAATATTCCATCGGTTTTTGATTGCGATGAATGGTGTTACCATGGTTAATAAAAATAGAATTTTCTGTAAAATTCCTTTAAAACTCTACTCCTTCTACAGTTTTAGTTTGATTTTAAAATAAGTTGGCACACAAGTAGACTACACAAAGATACATAAAATAGTGCAATGGTTTTTGATAAGTACAAACCAGTAGAGCTACAGTCTCGACAGAGACTTCTGGTTTTTTTTTCCGATGATAACTGCCACCAATCTACAGACGAAAATTACACAATACCGATTTGTGTGTGCACATGTGTAGACAACGAGATTATGAAACTACGTCGTCCCGTCTATAAATAGAAAAATATTTAAAACCAGCTCTGTACTAAAATTATAAATATCTCGCAGATAACAAATAATTGAATAGAAAATTGTTTTCTGTTACCGACACAGTTAATTTGTTTATTTTTATTTGTGTATCGATCTCTCGTATATTATGACCATAACCACCTAGCATGCTTAATCTGTGGACTAATCATCGTAAGTCATTCATAACAGGTCACAGGTGATCGTGTTGTAAAAACAATCAATCCGGCCAGTGTTTTGATAACAATTATCACTCAGTTCAGGCGTGAATGTTGACAAGAGTGGAAGTACAAATTACAATTTACCGTCCGGATAAATGAACCAATTTATAACGTAAAAATACATTTTGTAGTAAAAAAGAGCCGTCCGGATACGGAACGCGGAATTCCGGATAAATGAGTCAAAATTACGTTAAAAAAATCCGTTCCCGAGAAAAATCGTCCGGAAGGTGAAGCGTCCGGATATCTGGCGTCCGCATATCTGAGGGTCCACTGTACAATAAAGTGCCCCGCCACAGCATGATACTCCCGTCAAATATTGTTCAATAATCATAAATTGGTTGGGGTGCAAGAAAATCAGGTAACCTTGATTAACAGATTGACACAGATTTCAATTATCTAATTTCCATTTCTTATCATGTTTAAAATATTGTAAATACATCTCTAAGAGACTTGCAGTGTAGGGATTAATCAAACAAATAATACATCATATAATTCTAAACTGGCTGTGTTAGAGCTTAACAAATATCCATCTGCAGTTTTAAATTGGTTATTGCATATTTTATGAAATAATGGAAATGCTACAGTCTAATAATAAAATCAAAAAAGAAATTATTCTTTGGACTATAAAATTCTAAGTGAGACATGACTGCAATTTGTTGCAAATATATAAAAATTGAAATGTAATTTTTTTTTAATGAACACATGTATGATTAGTTTTAATCATATTATGCAATACTAATTTAGTTTTAATCATACACTAAAACATCAATTTGTTTTAATTACATTACACCCATTGAAAGATCTTTATCTGGACTTTAGCCATCAAGATCTCTTAATTAACACAAGCAACTATGAGGCCACTTCTTTTTGCCCAACTCCCAAGAGATAAATTAAGATAGCAGCTGCATGATCAGATCTAGAGATGCTCTCTCCAGTTAGCTCCCGACAATAAACTCATTAATTTCTCTCTAATTTGATGCACATTTCTGCTATCAAAATTCTTCTTGACCAGTGCTTGATAATTATGCCCATGGGACAAACTGAATTCCTCTCAAAACATTAACATTTGTTATAGATTGCTGTAAAGTATATGATGAAAAAATATGTTTTTACTTAATTTAACATTTTTTAATAAGGATACAACTATATTTTTAGCTCTACTGGTCAGAGACCAGAAGAGCTTATGCGATAGTAATGCGTCCGGCGTCCGTCCGTCTGTCTGTCTGTCTGTCTGTCCGTCTGTCTGTAAACAATTTTTCAAAACGCTACTCCTTCTACAGTTTTGGTCTGATTTCAGTATAACTTGGCACACAAGTAGACTACACTAAGATACATAAAATAGTGCATCGGATTTTGATTTCGATGAACGATGTTGCCGTGGTAACTAAAAATAGAATTTTCTGTCAAATTCCTTTAAAACGCTACTCCTCCTACAGTTTGGATCTGATTTCAATATACCTTGGCACACAAGTAGACTACACTAAGATACAGAAAATAGTGCATCGGTTTATTATTTCGATGAACGGTGTTGCCATGGTTACTAAAAATAGAATTTTCTGTAAAATTCCTTTAAAACGCTACTCCTCCTACAGTTTTGGTCTTATTTCAATATAACTTGGCACACAAGTAGACTACACTAATATACAAAAAATAGTGCATCGGATTTTGATTTCAATGAACGGTGTTACCGTGGTAACTAAAAATAGAATTTTCTGTGAAATTCCTTTAAAATGCTACTCCTCCTACAGTTTTGGTCTGATTTCAATATAACTTGGCACACAAGTAGACTACACTAAGATACAGAAAATAGTGCATCGGTTTTTTATTTCTATGAAAGGTGTCCATGGTTACTAAAAATAGAATTTTCTGTGAAATTCCTTTAAAACGCTACTCCTTCTACAGTTTTTGTCTTATTTCAATATAACTTGGCAAACAAGTAGACTACACTAATATACATAAAATAGTGCATCGGTTTTTGAATTCCATGAGCAGTGTTGCCATTGTTACTAAAAATAGAATTTTCTGAGAAATTCCTTTAAAATGCTACTTTTCCTCAAGTTTTGATCTGATTTCAATATAACTTGGCAAACAAGTAGATTATACTAAGATGCATAAAATAATGAATCGGTTTTTGATTTCAATGAACGGTGTTGCTGTGGTAACTAAAAATAGAATTTTCTGTGAAATTCCTTTAAAACGCTACTCCTCCTACAGATTTAATCTGATTTCAGTATAACTTGGCACACAAGTAGACTACACTAAGATTCATAAAATAGTGCATTGTTTTTTGATTTCGATAAACAGTGTTGCCATGGTTACTAAAAATAGAATTTTCTATGAAATTTCCTTTAAAACGCTACTATTTCTACTTTTGTCTACAGTTTTGGTCTTATTTCAATATTACTTGGCACACAAGTAGACTACACTAATATACATATTAGAATAGTGCATCGGTTTTTGATTTCGATGAATGGTGTTGCCATTGTTACTAAAAATAGAAATGTCAGTGAAATTCCTTTAAAATGCTACTCCTTCTACAGTTTTGGTCTAATGACAATGGCTTCTTTTCTCATCCTTTGTTATAAGTACAAACCAGTAGAGCTACAGTCTCGACAGAGACTTCTGGTTACATTTTTTAGGATTATGAAATTTAAAATTTAAAAGACTTAGTTTTTTAAAAAAATTAACTTAAATTAAAGGTCACAGTGACCTTGAAATAGGCCGCGACACACCTTCTACCTTAGATGTATACTTTTACCAAGTTTGAAAGCTCTATGTCTAATAGTTTTCTAGTTATGAGCCGGACAGGATTTTTCCATATTTGGCTATAGCACCTTTATTAAAGGTCAGAGCGACCTACTTTTTGTGCGCGACACACCATCTACCCAAGAAGTATCAGTTGACAAAATTTGATAATCCTAGGCCTAATAGTATTCAAGTTATGAGCCGGACACGAATTGACAGACGGACGGACGGACGGACGGACATGAAGCCTATAACATAATACGTCCCGTCTTAAGACGGGCGTATAAATATGGCCAATTTTTAAAGCTATTTTCCTATATTTAATAAAGAGCACAACCTCTGATCTAAAATCAGCAACTAGTAAATGATAGAACTGTATCTGAGGATTAAAAGACATGTTTTATTCTTTAGATCAGAGAGTGCACTTATATTATTTTTCTTCACTGAAAGTACTCAAATTTACCTGTTTACCTTAGAAAAGCCTTCTCTCTTTATATGTATCAGTCGAAAACTATATAATTGTTTTAAAACAGCTAATAGAGACAAAAGGGTTATATTATCGATATCAAGTAGTGTAGGGCTGTATCAATATATCGATATATCGATACGTATCGATATTCAAGAATCATACCGTATCGAAAAATAACTTCCAATACGTCTCAGATATACAGTTTAACTTCTAATTCTGTTAAAAAGATGGGAATTTTAATCACTAAAGATTATATTTCACTTTTCTAAATTAAAAATGATCAATAATTATATGATCACTGATAATTATTAAGGAAATAACACAGTTTTTATAATTATTATAAAATACATAGACAATGTTATTTTAATATGTTGATTTTACAGACATTAAAAGTTTAAATTTGAAGTGTTTTTTGTGATGACAATGAGTCAAGAACTTTAAAATGGGTAATGAAACGCTAACTTTTCATAAAATTCATGCATTAAATGATTCATAAGCCTTTTTTTATTAACTTTTTTTAGAAACCAATATATCGCATATCGCTTTAAAAAATATCGTATCGTATTGTATCGAAATATTTTGTTCAATACACAGCCCTAAAGTAGTGCATATAAGACTAATAAAATAGGAAAAATGTGTTGTCCCCAGATTTAAAAAGAAAAAAAATGAAAGGGGGGGTTCCCAGCTCCTAAGTGCCTGTGAATCATCCAAAAAATGCATGCTGATTTTTTGTCTATGAACTCCTGATGACACTATAATCTTAAATTAAGAATATCTAGAATATCTTGATAAATTATCACTAGGTTAGGTACGTTGCGTATTTCAGCGATGAATATCCTCCTTGTAATTTTTGAACATATATTTTTTTATCATTACAGGGTAAAAAGTCCACAGACTTAAAACAGGAAGATTCTTCTGAAGGACCAGAAAGTGTCAAGTCAGTAAGTGAGAAGAATAAAGATCTCAAGAGAAGCCATTCCCCTCAACCAATGGAAGACCTGACTAACAAACTCTCCAGACAGTGATGAACTCTGATTGGATAAGTCTAAAATTCACCCAATGATGGCCAATCAGATCAAAAGTTCTATAAAACATCCAAGATTTAACAGAAAGATATAATAATTCATCAATAGATTAAGGTCAGACGAGACGTTCCTCAAAATCTGTTTTACATATCTTCGTAATGTATGAGAAATATTCAAAATTTTCATAACATTCTGCTTTCTAAAGCAGTTTCTACACGTTTTTAAAAAATCCAAACACTTAAACATTTGAAATTGGAAAATTATTTTTCTTCCCCAAAGGATTACATAAGAAAAACTATCCCTGATATCTTGCATAAATGCCTGGTAAGGTACCACAATTTTTTGTGAGTAAACATGTTTAAGTAGCAGCACTTCAATGACAAACTCTTAGAAAAATTTATCTATTATTTAGGAACGTCTCGTCTGTCCTTAACTGTGATAGTTTCACTCACAAACAAACTTGATGAATGTTATAGTTGATGATATAAGTGAAGATAGATAGACATTGACCTACATTTAAAAGTGAAAAATGGAAATATTTATATGAAAATTAGTCTGAAATAGAGATATGGTGAATTGACTAATTATAACATGCTCAAAAAATAAGGAATCCACCTCTGTAAAGTATACTATACGATGTTTATCTTGAGTATCCTGTGATGTGTTCACTGTGCATATTCTAGGATATGTTTACAGTGAGTATTCTCTGTGTTTACCGTTCATCTAGATGATATAATGCATATATTCTAGAATGTGTAAAACATTCAGTGAAATATTCTATGATGTACATGCATGTTTACAGTACATGTTTTATTATACAGTGAGTATGTCGTGTGTTCAAGGAATGCAAGCATATAGTCATCTTCAATTTGTAACTATCGTATATAATCAGAACACTGTGATGTCTGATTTATGAGAAATCATTACATGTATTTATGTCAAGCATCTCTAGATGCTACTGACTGACAGTTTAAAGAACATTGAAGGAAAAAAAAATAAAGAATTGACACATTAATAATTTTTTGGTTTAATATCTTTTTCTCCAGAAAACATGATGACATTTAAAAATAAACTTGTTTGTTTGTCTGGGCTGAGAGCTTAGATGAACTTTTTAGATAAAACTTGGTTGTCTTTCTTTTGTCATTTTCTTTCATTCTAACTTCTTTTCAAGAACCAAGGGCCAATTTCAACCACTTAATACCACCAAGCATCTTTGTTGAAAATTTACTGTAATGTTAAGAATGTACAGTGTATAGACTGTCTGATGTGCAAAAATCTTGCTTCGTTAGTCTCATACCCTACATAAATATTTTGGAGAAAAGCTGGACTACTAATATATTGTGCTTAATATTGTAATTAAACTTATAAATCTTATTCCAGTGAACATAAACTTTAATATATATAATAATCATGATCTTAGAGACAAAATATTCCTATTAAGTGACCCCTAATATCATGAAATTTTCAAAAAAAAAAGGAATAAATTGTCTCCCCCTCCCTCTGTAATGTTATTAACCCTATTCACAAGAGTGAAGACACTTAGTTCAGGCAAACTACATGTATTTATTGAACTGAGATATGAAATTTAACAACTCATTGTAACAATATAATATAGAAATATGCATGCATTAATTGTTAAGTACATAAAAGTAAATATAATTGAAAACATCTAAAATAACTTGAAAAATAAAACCTGTAAATAATCAGTTAAGAAAAAAACCTGGGGGATATGTTTTACATGTACTGTATAAAGATATATATATATATCATTCAAACAATTAAAAATGTTAACCATACTATGTATGCAACATATATTTTATGTGTCAATAAAGGAATATAGGAGTACATGTACATTTAATCTAGGCAATTATGAAATGTTTGATTTAATTATGACATTTGAGCTACTCAATACAGTGTATCACCAATGTATAATTATAATATATCACATAGCAAATACATGAAGAAGGTGTATAGCATGTTATGTAATCCACAATGAAGATGGGGCTGAATGCCTAATATACAATGCACCGAGTCTACATATTTTTCATGTAGAAAATCAGCAATACCTTTCTATAGACAAAAGAGTATTGTGTCTATTTTTCACTTTTTAATGCAATGTACAGTATAAAGTACATTTTATTTAATTAGATATTTTACATTTCACTGCATTATAAGGAGCAACAGTTCAAAAACAGAAAATGCAATAGACATAAATGCTGACAGCACTAATAAAGATCGATGCACATTGTGGCCCATAAAGAAAGCAAAATATATGAATCAGAGTAACAGTAAAATGATTACAACTGTATATGAGGAATAAAATGAGCAATTTTAATGCATATTTTATAAATTGTAATGTAGGAATAAAATGAGCAATTTTAATGCACATTTTATCTGAAATTGTAATGTAGATATGCATAGTGAATATTCATGCCTGAGTGAATTACTTTTAAGATGAGAAAATTTCTCAAGTAAAGAAAACTTAAATATACAATTTATTTAAAATGTTCAACAAACCACTTAAAAATGTACAAGGATATACAGTAATAAATGTATAAAATGTGAGTTGATCATCTTTGGATTACCCCGGTAATACTCTATATCATCTACAAACTAATGTATTGTAATGGCATTCAAAGTTCTATGGCTTGTCTAGATAGTTTGTTATGAGATTCTGATGTCGATCATATGGAGGGATTTAAAACATGAAAGTTTATAAAAATCAATAAAAACACAAGTATATGTAGGTTGTAAAATAAAAGCATGACACATGATAAAATCATGTGATACATTAAAAATGCTTTTATGATTTATGTATGGTTCTGGACGGAATATACCTTTATACATCATTGCTTCATTCAGAGCAATAAATGCAGAAAATGTTTTCTTGTACCCTTCTTACTTATTCAACTAATATAAAAATAAAAGTCCTTTTTAATACTCAATTAGAAAAATCTGCTTTCATATAACAGTTGAAAGAGATTATTGTTATATTTACATTGATGTTTTGATATAAGCATTGATGGAATTGAAGTAGATTGCAGTTGTACAGGGGACTTTGATATGCCTGTTTGATTTGTGTGTGATATGGTCTGACCTCTATACAGTTTTAAACATGTTTAATGTCTGCTTCCTCCACATTCCGCGGCCCTGGCTCACCGGTTTTCCAGAATATCTCCACACACCTGACATGTCTACAGCACTTGGCAAACTGTTCCAGAATTTTCTTCAATATCTGAATTATTGGAGTACACACAAGTTTCGATGTAACACAACAATTCCAACAGAAAACACCTGTTGGCTGCATAAAGCCGTTGAACAAAACTGACAGTACAGGTTTCATGACATATTCACCGGTCGTCATGAAAATTCCAATAAATATGGGCTGGAAGACGTATTTAATAATGTACTTGAATAGTTCTACCACAAACAGGATGAAGAAACTGGTCACAATGCGTAGTGCTCCAAAAAACTCCTGCCAAATTCTCTGGAAAATACCCTCCAATCTGTAACAAAACAAGCATACTACAAAATGTATTTATTGATTTATTTATTACTTAATAAATAAAGAGAACCAGAAGTCTCTGTCGAGACTGAAGCTCTACTGGTTTGTACTTGTAGCAAAGGAAGAGAAAAGTACTTAAGCAGTTGGGAATTGAAACTTTACAACAGCAATAAATAGAATAATGATCATTGATAAGGTCTTCTTATGTTCTTAAGTGTTTACTACTTGTGTGCCAAGTTATATTGAAATCAGACCAAAACTGTAGGAGGAGTAGCATTTTGAAACAATTTCACAGAAATTTCTATTTTTAGTAACCACGGCAACACCGTTTATCAAAATTAAAAACCGATACACAGAATTATGTATCTTAGTGTAGTCTACCTGTGTGCCAAGTTATATTGAAATCAGACCAAAACTGTAGGAGGAGTAGCATTTTGAAAGAATTTCACAGAAATTTCTATTTTTAGCAACCACGGCAACACCGTTTATCGAAATCAAAAACCGATATACAGAATTATGTATCTTAGTGTAGTCTACTTGTGTGCCAAGTTATATTGAAATCAGACCAAAACTGTAAGAGGAGTAGCATTTTGAAAGAATTTCACAGAAATTTCTATTTTTAGTAACCATGGCAACACCGTTTATCGAAATCAAAAACTGATACACAGAATTATGTATCTTAGTGTAGTCTACTTGTGTGCCAAGTTATATTGAAATCAGACCAAAACTGTAGGAGGAGTAGCATTTTGAAACAATTTCACAAAAATTTCTATTTTTAGTAACCACGGCAACACCGTTTATCGAAATCAAAAACCGATATACAGAATTATGTATCTTAGTGTAGTCTACTTGTGTGCCAAGTTATATTGAAATCAGACCAAAACTGTAGGAGGAGTAGCATTTTGAAACAATTTTACAGAAATTTCTATTTTTAGTTACCACGGCAACACCGTTTATCGAAATCAAAAACCGATACACAAAATTATGTATCTTAGTGTAGTCTACTTGTGTGCAAAGTTATATTGAAATTAGACCAAAACTGTAGGAGGAGTAGCATTTTGAAAAATTGTTTACAGACAGACAGACAGACGGACGGACGCCGGACGCATTATTATCGCATAAGCTCTTCTGGTCTCTGACCAGTAGAGCTAAAAACAAATAATTCAATTTCACTGTATAATTAGTATAGTGTGCCCTAGCTAATATCTGGTCTAAGATGTAAGCAGGGGCCATAAAACGTTGATGACCTGATTCACTTGATCTCAGTCTCACTTTTACCGAAAAAATTAGTCCAATTAAATTCTAGACATTCATGATTACCTGTCTGCAATCTTGGGCATCAAAGCTTCTTCTTCTTCATTGTCCACCTCCAGGTATTGCACTGGTCCATGTCCAAAGTAGTAGGTCATACTGTTAACATACAATACATACCAAAGTAGTAGGTCATACTGCTAACATATAAAAAATACCAAAGTAGTAGGTCATACTGTTAACATACAATACATACCAAAGTAGTAGGTCATACTGCTAACATATAACATACCATTAAAGTA